TGCTCTGTGTGTTGTATAAACACGGTAAGAGGAGGCTGTGATCTAGGAGCTGGCGGACCGAGTGCCATGGCTGTCATGCTGAGGTAGCGTTCCACGAGGTTCCCCCAGACGTCAGCTCTCTTTTGAAACATGTAAATGTCGTAAAATGTCTTCAGGGCATCTAAAAACGGCTCTTTAGCTTAAGTCTCATGTCTTAAGGTTTTGAGTGCCTTATTTGCCTTTCAAATTTAATTATGTCTAAATTACTCAATTTTGGCTGTTTTGTGTGACAGAATGTGTACAGTGTAGTTACACAAGATGTCTTGTCTCATTTGGCAGGGGTTAGTGTAACCAGTGTGCAGTATAGCATTTTGTACCAGTTAAACGCATCAGACAACATTAAGATTTTATCACTGTCACTACCCAACAGTGACAGTAACCGAGTATATGTGCTCCTGTGCTGCAATAAAGTAAACAGTTTACAGTCAGTATGTGTAGATTTCTTATGGAATGATATCATTTTTTACAGTATCTGGTTGGCACAAGTTTTTGTTTATTATACAATGAGACAATCCCAGTAAAAAACTGATGTTGTCTAAGTATTGCATGACATTTTTCAGAATGTACACATGGCATTGAAAAGTACTGGAAATAGAGTATTGCTATCATGCGAAACTGTGATTTTTACTACTATATTTATATGACAACTTTAGTTAGTACTATTTACAGGATCAGAAATGCTGATCTCAATCGGAGCACAAAATATAATGTAGCGATAAAGATTTGATCATTCAGATGTAAACTGTGAACCAACATTAAAACAGTTCTTACAGCTAAAGGTTGTCATCATAAACAACTTTTCTCTGCTCAAACTCAAAGTGCTGGTTTTAGTGTTGCTGTGTAAAGGGTGAATTCATTGATGATTGAAGAACTCTTTCATAGTCAAGAACATTTTTGCCAACAAGAAACTTGAAATTTGATTTGTTTTAGTAGTGTAGTGTTATTTTTGTAGTAGTATTGATCATTTATTTTACGTCTTCCCTTATACTCACAATTTAAAGGTACCTTGAGGACTTTCTGACCACCACTAGTGCTATGGAGCAAGAGTGGGTTATCTGTTTTGTTTTTGTATCCTGTGCAGTTATACAATACACAGTCCTGCCAATGCCTTTACGCTATTCCACCAATCAACAGTTGGTGATATATATGTATAAATTCTTATGAGAAAGGAAATGCATGGATTGCATTTGTGAGTTTTTAACGAGACACACTGTGTTTTTGTGCTTTGTTTGTACCTTTAATAATGTCCCTGGCAAAAACATACAAGTCCTGGCTTGTTATGCATGTACAGTTGGGCTGTAACTAACCACTAATTTCATTCTTTCAAATGTTTAATGTTTAAAATTGAGTATATGAAATTTAAGACAATAGTGAAACATTCAAAGAGCACAAGATGACATCAGATAGCTTGCTTTTCTGACAGTCTAACAGTCCAAACCCCAAGATATTCAAGTTTGAATGATAGAAAAGCACATTTTTAGATATTTGAGAAGCTGGAATTAGGGTTCATAAATGAATTAAACAATTAATAAATTCAATATTTAAATTCAATAATCAATCATCATAATTTTCTGATGGCCTAAAATGAGAACAAAGCTACAACAAAGCCATTATAGTATTATTTAGTAAGATAAAATATTAATAATCGACTGACAAGCCACACTCTGCTAACCAACTACAGCTAAATGTATCTCATGTCTTGTGGAAACATATTTCAAGATAATTAAGGTATCAGTAAATCCACTGATGCGGCATTACAATCTTTTTAAGTGCAGAAGCCGTTTAAAACCATCCTCTTTCTTTTCCTTCATGTTCACAAATGGCAGGGCTGTTTCTAGCATAAGCCATTGGGGTAATACCATGACAGAGAGACTGTAAATTGTTCTGCTTGTTATCCTCCGGCAACTGAAATCCTGCCACGCAGTCAGAGCTCAGATTGGTGACTGGGAGCTCCTTAGGCTTCGAGAAACATTGTTAGGAGACTTCTCGTCCACGTACACACACACACTCTGGCACACACACATGCACACACTCTCCTCGAGGCCTCGCTGCAGCTGGGACCTGCTCTGACTTTCCTCGGGCTCGGGTGAAAATAATGCACCTTTGTCCATCACAAAACTAAATAGGATTGTGACTCTGAGGAGGTTTGCTATGGAAAGACAGTATTATGCTGCAGTAGTCACTACAGTTGCTAAAATACAATCATTAGGCAATAAATGAATTACTGTGACCCAAATGTAATATGCACTATTATATGTACTAGTAGTAGCAGTTTTATAATATCATAGCCTTATGTTAATAATTATATACATAATTCTTTATGTACTGCCTGCAAGAGTAAACAAAGGACAAAGAAAAACAAGCATGCCACACAAAATATGTTATATTTATGGACAAATGGTCAAATATTCAATCAATCTAGAGACGGTCATATAACAGAAATTGTTCATAAATCTTAAGTTGTATACATGCACAATGTCAGCCTGCAGTAAGAGTAACTTTTCAACCAAATCCAGGAAACAGGACACACAAATAAGAGAAGAAGTAAGTGAATCAGCTGTCTCTGGAGGCCCAGACTTCAATGTCTGAGCCCTATTAGTTGCTTTGTCTCTCGCCAGATAACAGACATGAAAATCTCTTTGAGTCGACCCAGCCTCCAGCCTTTACATGATGGACTCCATTTTTCTTCAGTGCCACCACCCGGCCTCCTCCCGCTTCCACCTTCACTGAAAACACCCCCACCATTATTCACAAGGCTGCTTAAAACAAATAGCTGCAGATTCCTGCGGTGGACCTGCGTTCGTTCCCCCCAGCAAGCATCTCTACACCTAACCACCGACAACACTTCATGAAGATGCATCCTTCAGTCTGTAAGAGAGGGAGAGGAGTGTGTGCGAGCGTGTGTGTGTGTGTGTGGATGTGCGATCTGGCCCAAAAAAAGTAAAAAAATAAAAGATAACACAAAAGATGGATGAAGCCTGGGTGACATACATCCTGACACCTCCACAAAAGAAAACATTGACCATCCTGCTCACAAAAGCCAAGAGACTGAATAATGTTGTTTTTTTTCATCTCTGTCTGTTTTCCTTCAGCAGCTGCCAATACAATCCAATTTTTGACACACTAAATGTGGCAACAATCATTCTTTCTTTGAAGTGGCACAGGCAGGCATACATAAATGTAGCACATTGTGTGCTGATAAAATACAGTGGCACACCAACAAACCAAAGCGAAAGCCTTTGACCTTGTGCGGCTCTGAGAGCGTGGTAGCTCCCTGGATATAAGAAAATCAATATTCTGCATTTAGCTGTGCAGGACCCTCTGTTAAATGGAGCAACACATCACTAAGACTGTTTATTTTGCATTGACATGAGCAAAAAGGCACCTTCGGCTAAATATTTTAAAAGGTGATTAAAACAAAGATAATACATTTAACGTAATGAGCTGCAGTTAATTCCTTGGAGGAAAATGCGATAGGTCACTGAGTCTGGTGAGACTGGTTTGTTTTGAAACCTCAGATTCAAAAATAGAACACTTGAATTCTGCTTTTTTCAGATCTTCTAAACCTGCCTGATTGTTTTGTAAGAGGTGGAATTCAACGTTAAAATCCACTTTTTTTTCTGTTAATCTTAAAGGACAACTCAAAGGTCAGTCAAAACATTTTACACTTCACAAAATGCTTAATTAACAGGAAGTGTTCTTTTGAGTTTCAAACAGGGCAGCAAATGAGCATGAATGACTCTTAACAGCCCACGTGCCATAATCCAGCTGTTCTGAAGACTTCAAAATCTCCGTTTGACCTCATATTCTTTTACATTTACCCAAGCCCAGATGACCAGACTGCAGCTCTCAGCACTCATAAACTTCAGACTTGGAAAGAAATAAATACAACTCATCACATATTCAAGTGCTTTCATATTCAGTGCAGTACTGTCTTTATGATGTTGTTGCCCTGGCATGAACACGGCAACCCAGTAGTTAGTTATTTATTCCTTATAAATAGTAGGCAGTTTATTAGGTACACCTAGCAAAAACTAATAGAGTCTAATAGAACAGTCCTGCTATGAATCCTCCTTTATGAAGGTTACAATGATTCATTTTTGTTAAAACTGAGATTTTGTTTCAATTTGATCCCTTTGGAGGAGGTAGTATGTGTGCGTGTTGTGTATATGCCAATTATATCGCCAATATATATCAATTATTTTCAAGATTAGTTCAAGGACTACATTTTTTAACTTTCAATGCCAATATGTTTTATATGTTCTATTTCTGCAATCCACAGTATATTGCAGCTGCAGTATGGTTAGTGTATGGTTAAAGTTAGGGAAACATTGTGTTCATTGTGGTTTAAAAAAGCAAACATTAAAGCAGCACTACTCTTTTGTTTTGTTTTGTTTTTTGGCCACCTGGGGAGAAGCTGTGAACACAACATTGACCAATGTTGTGAGCAAACATTTGCCTTTTAGTACATCCAGCATTCATTTGGAGGTGTGTTTCTGTTTACCTGGCAAATGTGATTAAATATTCACTCTCCTTTTAGCTAGATGTTTTTCTGAGAAAATATCTGCTTTTTTGCTTCGGCACTGTCCAAAGGCAATGAGCCAAACAATATAGTTGTGGTAAAACCAAAACATTGAGCTGAAAGATGCAAAAATGCTGACTGTAGCTGAGGGGAACTCATTTTCTGAAGGTTTACTACAAACAACTCCTTGCACATTACACAGTTATTCCATTCATTAGTAATATATGGATTAGTGTAGCCTTAAAAAGGAAGTCACTTAATATTTCTAGCATGAAAGTCGAATGTGCTACACGCCCGACCTAGACACTTTGCACCTCTTTCCATAAGAGGGACTGCCTCCTGCACTGGCGCTCAACCATGGGATAGGGTGTGAACTGTATCCTGCAGAGTTCATATTCCTAGGAATACTGATCACTTGGAAGAAAATAGCAAAACTTACTTTTGTCCTTGATTACTGTAGTTGTTGTCATACGATTCATATCCTTGGTCATCATAAGCTGTTCCGTAGCCGTCGTCATATTCCTGAAGTAACAGAAACCAGATGAAACCAGTTAAATGAGGTGCAGATAAGGGAAATTTCCTGCAAACATTTTGACACTGAAGATGTGTTGATATGACAACCTGTGCAGCATTATGAACCTGTTGAACTACAGAGCAAAGAAGCTCAGAAGACATATAAGAGCTGCTGTGTGCTGCATTGTTTGGTAAAATTGTGACCTAAACACCTTTTTGAAATTGGTTTACAACAATTTCAGCATATTTTTCCAAACTATGGCATCCTGTTGTGAACGTTTTTTTCTGTTCATCAAATGCTTACATGCTATACATCGCAGTGCACGGAAGCCTTCAACTTATCACAGATATAGGTCAGACATCTTCATCTGCTGCTATAGCAGCCCATATGCAGCACCATTAGAGTGGCAACTGCAGCCCTGCCCTTGTCTCTGTGTCAACTGACTGACAGTGGGACGTAAAGACTCTCGCTGTGGCAACGTTTCATCACCACCTCAAAGGATGAGCCTTGAACATCTGTTTGTGCTCCAGCAATCTGCCCCGTCCCCCCCTCTGCACTCCACCCAGGCCCCCGCCAAGAGGAACATCAAAGTGAACCAGCGCCGCACCCGTCCTAATTTGGGATAAATGGGACTTATGTTCCACAAAAGGCGTCGACCCCTAGCGACACATCTCTCATCCCCCACACACTTCTTGGCTAATTCCATCTGCCCCTGATTTGCATGCTTGAAATGAATGTCTGTAAGATTTAGTACAAGAAGAAAATGCTCATCACATCCATATTATTATTAAGGCCCTAATTCCTGATTAGAAACATACATTTGCCAAATGACAGCATTTGAATTGACTCTTTTATCTTTAATCCTCCAGAAACTTAGTACATGTAGAGGAACTACATACAGTATGACTCTCAACAATGAGATCTGGATGTAATAATATGTCCTTGTATTTGGGTAAAATACCTGGCAGGTGCATTTTAAGATTCCTTTTTATATGCTCAAACCTTTCCTTGGTCATCCCATTGGGTTTCTTTGAAGACTTGTTTATGATTCCTTTGTTGTTTTGCGTGTGAGTGGGAGGTCTGTTGGTTTTTGTGGAGGTCTTTGTCAGTTCCTTTCTATTTGTCTAGAGGTAGCTTGAAGGGAATTTAAGTCCCTCCTGGCGTTTGTAATTCTGCAGTTACAAGAATTTTTTCCAAAGTCAACAATTCCCCACGCTAATGCAAGGACTACGTTCAGTCAACAACTGTACTTTTGACAATATTAAACCCCTTAAACGCCTTTAAAAAACAACAGGCGCAGCAGTTCTCTAAACTTCAGACTTTGATTTGCAAAATTTCCAATCATAACCTTTTTCTGCCCAATGAAACACAAAAGAGAACATAATGAAGCTTGTAATTTTTGAATAGTTTTTGCCAAAGATAATAATCAAAACACTGACAAAAATAAAAACAGTTAATATTTATAAGCAAAAAAAGACTGTGAACATTATGTCAAGAGCTAACAGACTTAAGAAGGCAGGAAAAGGAAAGTTGGCATGAATGCTGAACCTTGAAGAAAAGAATACTGCATATTACCGCATCATTTAATGCAATCAATCTATATATAACATCCCACTGTGGAGGTTATAATGCTCAGTTTTTGTTGTGTTTGATATTCAACTTAATGGTGATTTTGCATCATTTTGTGTTGTATATACTGTATTGCACTGGTTATTTTTTCTATCCAACATACAGATTCTGTCTTGATAGTGGTCTTAATTTGGCATGAGTTCCTGAGCTTCACATCAGTAAGCTCTGCATTTTCAGTTTACCTGCAACAAAATTCACTTTCACATTTGTGGTAAAGATTACATTCCTTAAAGATGTGCAACTACACCGTGGGTGTGTTTACATCCTGTGGAATATATAGCTGTCAGGTTGAAATACTGCTTAAAAAAACACACTGCATTCGTGTACAACAGATGTTGTGTGTACCAGGGGTAACACTGGCCACCTAATCGGATGACATTTTATATATCCGCAGTGTTTTAGAAATACATATTTAGGATCTGTTTGAGGGATAATCATCCGTTTTATTCTGAGGACTGATCTGACAGGGAGAAAAAAGGCCTCAATCATGAATATGTATGAGATTATGATACTGAACTTTGTAGAGTGAGTCAACCAACCTCCTGTTCTCATCTTCACTCTAAACATCTTGGTCTTTAAAAATTCAATACGATTTTATCATAGAAATAGCTCTTAGCTGGTCTTAGCTAGTAGTGTATTATGCTAAAGAGGAAGGTGGGGAAAAATAGCAACATTTACATTATTGTACATTAAATTGGTGAACGTGTTTCTTTAAAGCAACTGACACTTTTACCCCACGTATATAGGCATCATCAGCTGTATTTTATTACAACATCCACCATTTGCTCAAAGCCACAACTGAAGGCTTTGAAGCTGAAACAGCTTTAACCAAAAGGCACCTTCTGAAGTAAGTTTGTGCATTGCTAGTGTCATCCCATTTGAAATTGAAATGATGTCTCTGGTTTTGTCAGAAACACGCCTGTTTTTGTCACAAAACTAAGCATCATTCTATTTCAATCTATTAAAAGTTGTCTCTGTTACACAGTACCTATTGCAGACTGGAATAAACAAGTGTGGTTATGAATACTGAATGATAGGCAGAAGGACACAAAATAAAATCGTGTAGCTGTGATTGTAAAGGCAGCCTCAGTTGTCAAATAAAATACCGTCTCTGAATATAACAACATGAGGAAAGCCAAAACCTGTACAATGTTTCTCCATATACGGACCATAGGCTATACCTTGCTTGCCAAACATACACATTGGTTTCAAAAGCTCACCTATAAAACATGACTTCTAATACAGCATGTGTCATTTTAAATTTAAAACTAAACTTTTAAAATAATGTACTGCATAACTGTTCATTAGCTCGAAATAGACAACAACCAACACAGTCAATTACCTCCCTGACATGAAGCTTCTCGTCCAGCAGGACTATACATGGAAGTGAACATGTATCAGAAAAGAACTAGTCTAGGCTGCAGGTGACATGTGTGAAACACTCAGACATCTGACTGCCTTTAGATCAGAGTATTCAATGGTTAAAGACACGGAGCAGCAGTATCATGAAATGCTGCCAGTAGCATACTGAAAAGGTGTGGCTAATTAAAAATAAGGAGCTGCGTGGGCCTTACCAGTCATATTAGCCACTGATATCACAAACCTTTATCACAGTTTAATACAAAGTTACTTCAGATCAATGGTGCAACGTTCTGTTCCTCATTGAGATTTTAAAAACAAGGAAATGTCTCTCATACACCTTCAAAATGTTCACTTACAATTGATTTATAAATTGGCTTGATTAATTTGATTTCTTCTTGCATAAGAAAATAACAATTATGTGTGATTTATTAAAACATACATTATTGTATTCCTTTGTTATAAAGGCAGTAGGGAGTGTGTTCTATAACATAATAACAGTCACCAGTCTCGTGTATAGAGTTTAGTGACTTTACCTTGTACTTAATTATTACTGTAATTCATATTGTCTATATGAAATAAAGAAAAAAGCTCTCATAGCTCTTTAACTCAGTGTGTCAATATTGATTTTATACCATGTTATACCATATTTATTCTCACATATTCCACAGCGGAGTCATGCTGTTTTTCTAATATGGAATACGTAAAATATTTAAAAGGGAGCGAGTGTTTGATTTAGACAGAATTTATTTTTATCCAAAGAGCTTTAACAATTTACCCATTGCTTATTCACACAGAGCCACACTTAACAATCAAGAGCAATTGAGGTTCATGAGATTATGGCACAGCGAAAAACATGTAAAACATGGCATTACTGGCAGATTTACCACCATCATAGTCGTCTTTTATACAGAAGGCCTCCTAGCAAACCCTAGAGGCTGCAGTTATGCCTTATTATACGTCACAGTACTAAAGTGTTGGATGAAATAACCAACAATGTGATGGTGCTGCCAGAAGAAACACCATGGGGTCACAAAAAGCAAAGTGTTCACCCTGTCAATCAGCCAATAAAATGAAGAAGTCTTGCATGGACATTTTCAGCATTAGGGTGGCACCTTAAGAAAAATCATTAAAATGCAAAAGGTTCATCCTGGAGCAGGTTTTTTGTCAGGGAGCTCAGTATTTTCAGTATTAAAATAGGTACCAAAGAGGTACATTTATACACAAATCTGGCGATCGGTTTGTGTGCTCTGCGATGTAGTGGCACCACCAATAGTGATTCATGATGTAAGGCAGTGGCCCCCAGTTACTGAGGAATGTACTTTATATGGATGGCAATCTTGGCGCTATCCAAATTTTACATAATAGTGAGACATTTATTATGACAATGGCCAGAAATAGAGAAAAAGCAGAGTGACAGTGTAATACTATTGTACTAGCTAGCTAGCTTAATCAATTCAATTTAATTTCAATTCAATTTTATTTGTATAGCACCAATTCATAACAGAAGTTATCTCAGGACACCTTTCAAACAGAGCAGGTCTAGACCGAACTCCTTATAACATTGATCAATCAAGAGTTAAACTTAGTAAATGCAAATTTTGAAGGTTTCATAGATATTCATGCAGACATCTTGGTCCTCTGCACGCCCACAGAATCTATGTAAAGTGTATGGCCTCAGAGAGGGGCAGTCTTCATGAAGTAAAGGCTTGGGTGTTTTACATTCTTTCTTTTTTCCAAAGTTGAAGTTGGGGCAGCTGATTACTGCACAGGTTCATTGTTAAAGTAACACTCCATAGAAAGTAAAGGCAAAAGGGAGATGCTACCACAGAAATGGTGACTTGTTTACTACCGGTACTTCCCTGGATCCATGTATATAACAAATTTCATTCTCAGTAACTTTTGAAATATGTGGACTAAAGTGTCCATCTGTGCATGACACACACTGACCAATAATGAATAGTCATTCAATTATAAAAAATGTAATATTATATGTAACTATTGGATTGTCTTATTGTTG